GCTTAAAGTGGACTTTCAAATCATTTTCTCTTTAAATTTTTAGTGACAAAGATGTGATTTTTCAAGAGTAATGTGTGCGTGGGGGTGGGGGGTTTTCTGCTAAAACTTTAATCACAAAGGGAAGAGAATTTAGAAGTTTTCTGGGATTGTTGCGTTTGAGTTTTCTTGAACTCGAAAATTTTAACCAAAAGAGTGCTCTTTTTTTTTTGCCACAAGAATTTCTTGTATTTCGGGATTCTAGTTTTGAATGAGATAATTGGAGTATTTGTATGCAAATTGACGATTGTTCTTGTTAGCCGAGTTTTTCTTATGATGGTTCAGAATGTACTTAATTGTTGTCAAAATATGGATCATATTAATTCTATGTCCGCAAGAGTAATTAAAGTATTTGTGTCCAAAACAGGAAAAGTAACAAGAAGGATTTTTCCACTGCAATTTCGGAACGCAAGAAGTCTCCGAATCGACTTGTTGTAGATGAAGCTGTCAATGATGAAAACTCTGTGGTTTCCTTGCACCCTGCTACAATGGAAAAGCTTCAGCTTATTTGTGGAGACATTGTTTTAATTAAGGTAATTTTGCTCTCCTGTATATTGAATAGAGTAAATGCCAGTAATTTCAATCTCTAAATGCCTGGAATTTAAATGTCACTTAATTTTTGGGCCTATACAGGGGAAAAAACGAAGAGACAGTTTGTATTGTTCTTGCTGATGGCGAATGCAAGCAACCGAATATCAGAATGAACAAAGTTGTGCAAGCTAATCTTAGGGTTTGTATTGGAGATGTTGTGTCGATTCATCACAGCCCTGATGTCAAGAATGGAAACCAGGTTCACATCCTTCCAATTGATGATACAATTGAAGGAGTGACTGGAAACTTGTTTGATGCATATTTGAAGCGTGAGTTTTCTCTTTCAAATTTAATCCTTTGTTGATTGTGTCATACAAAAATCTTTTGTTGCAATTAAGCTTTGTGCTTCTGTGAATGTCTATTAACATTCTTACTGGTTTTGCAGCATACTTCACAGATGCATACCGGCCTGTGAGGAAGGGTGACCTTTTCCTGGTTAGGGGTATGATGAGAAGTGTTGAGTTCAAGGTCATGGAGACAAACCCTTCTGAGTACTGCATTGTTGCACCAGATACTGAGATTTTCTGTGACGGAGAACCTATCAAGCACGAAGATGAGGAAAGATTAGATGAGGTGGGCTATGATGATGTTGGAGGTGTTAGGAAGCAAATGGCTCAAATACGTGAGCTGGTAGAACTTCCTCTTAGACATCCACAGACAGCTCTTCAAATCAATTGGAGTGAAACCCCCTAAAGGCATTTTGCTTTATGGGCCACCTGGGACTGGCAAAACTCTGATTGCAAGGGCTGTAGCTAATGAGACTGGTGCATTCTTCTTTTTGATTGATGGACCTGAAATCATGTCAAAGATGGCTGGTGAGAGTGAAAGCAACTTGACGAAGGCGTTCGAGGAAGAAGAAAAGAATGCACCCTCAATCATTTTTATCGATGAGATAGATTCTATTGCTCCAAAGAGGGAAAAGACCCATGGTGAAGTGGAAAAGCGTATAGTATCTCAACTTCTTACTTTAATGGATGGCCTTAAGTCTCGTGTTATTGTCATGGAAGATTGGAAGTTTGGAGAATCCGTACAAAGAAGATGAAACTTGCAGCTGAAGTAAGATTTTTCCACTGGCTTTTCATATCACATAGTTCTGTGTTTTACTGCGGCAACAGTTTCTGATGCTTATTTGGTGTTCTGTTACACTTGGTTGATCTTGAAAGAGTTGGAAAAGACACTCATGGTTTTATTGGGGCAGATCTTGCTGCTTTCTGCTCAGAGGCTGCTTTTCAGTGCATCCGAGAGAAAATGGATGTGATTGACTTAGAAGACTATACGATTGATGCTGAGGTGTTGAATTCCATGGCTGTGACGAATGAACACTTCCAGACTGGCCTCTACAAATCCTTCAGCCTTGAGAGAAAATGTGAGTTTAAAATTTTATAAATTTGAAAGAACCAAGCTTCAATTGTTATCTAGAACTTGCTACTGAGAAAATCTTTTGGGGTACTTGAGAATGACAAGTTCTTTTCTTGGTTTTGCAGGTTGTGGAGGTACCTAATGTCCCATGGGATGCCATTGGTGGCTTGGAGAATGTCAAAAGAGAACTTGAAGAGGTTTGTGAATCAGTTTTATCTCTTTCTTCTTTATATCATTTATTTGGACAAAATTTCATACTAATTCTTTCATCTCTGGCAGACTGTCCAATACCCCCGTGGAGCATCCAGAGAAGTTCGAGAAATTTGGCATGTCGCCTTCTAAAGGTGTTCTCTTTTATGGACCACCTGGATGTGGAAAAGCCCTTCTTGCCAAGGCAATTGCCAATGAATGTCAGGCCAACTTCATCAGCATCAAAGGACCCGAATTGCTGACAATGTGGTTTGGAGAAAGTGAGGCAAATGTGCGTGAGATCTTTGACAAGGCTCGCCAGTCTGCTCCTTGTGTTCTTTTCTTTGATGAGCTGGACTCAATTGCATCTCAGGTACTAAAGATTTTTTCTTTCTTTTTATTTAAAATCAACAGCTTTTCTCCTTGAACCAACTCTAAAACCCCCTCCCTCTGTCAGCGTGGCAATTCTGTAAGAGACGCCGGTGGCCCTGGAGATAAGAGTCTTGAACCAACTTCTAACTGAAATGGATGGAATGAATGCAAAGAAAACCGTCTTCGTCACTGGGGCAACGAACAGGCCAGACATTATCGACCCAGCATTGCTCAGGCCTGAGCGACCCATCTCTAAGGATATTGACCTTGCAGCTCTTGCCTGTTATACACAAGGTTTAAGTGGTGCAGATATCACTGAGATATGTCAACGTGCCTGCAAGTATGCCATTAGAGAAAACATTGAAGACGTAAGAGGTTTTCTCCTGCTAGAGTTAGTTTTGTTTGCCGCATATGCTCCTTAAAAGATTATTGTTTTGTAAGATAGAAAATATTTTAAGTTTCCTTCCCACACAAGAAACGAATTGCAGCATAAACAGGATTCATAGATGCCAATTGATACTTTATTCTAAATTTTTTATGCATCACATGAGAAATTCCATACTCATTTTTTTGTTTCCTCTTCAACCAATTTCTAGGATATTGAGAGGGAGAGAGATCCCAGAAACTATGGAAGAGGATGGCATTGAGGAAGATGTACAAGAGATAAAGCCAGCTCACTTTGAGGAGTCGATGAAATATGCCCGCAGAAGTGTGAGCGATTCAAGCATCAGGATGTACCAGCAATTTGCTCAGACTTTTACAGCAATCTCGTGGTTTTGGATCTGAGTTTCAATTTTCGGAACAGACCAACAACACTGCAGGAGGAGCTCCATTTTCTTCAGCCACAGCTGCTGCACCTGCAGATGATCTGTACAGCTGAACTATAACCAATGATGCTGATCTGTACAGATCATCTTTGATGGGGAAGAAGAAGAATTGTAAATGTTAAGCTTGATGCTTTTCTTACAACTGTATACATTTTGTTCATCATAATTTAAATATTTGGATTTGTATTGAGAGTAAAAATAATTTAACACCGATGAGATGAAATGTACCATGCCTAATCTTTTGGTCATGTGTGGGATGTCCAATTCCATGCATGCATAGTGGACCCTACAACTTTACAAGCTTACCTCTACTGTATGTACAAAACTATAAAAGTCCCTCATGAATCATGATCTGCATGCACTGGGAATCTTTGATGTCTGCTTTTCAGAAAAAAAGTATTAAAAACCAAGAGACTGGATCTCAGATCTCACATATCTTACATATGATATAAGGGGTCCATAATGTTGCATGTGCGGTCACGTGAGCTCAAGCAAAAGGTCATCAGAGAGAGAGAGAGAGAGAGAGAAGGGCATCTTTTTCTTGCCCTCCACCTCTCTGCATAAGTATGGAAGATACTGCTAAATAAAATAGAGAATTTGTGAGCTACACAAAAAATACTCCACTGTGTTTTTTTAATATCCGATTTTGTTTTTGTTTATTTTAATTAAGATATAGATGAATTCTTCTGTCTATTGTTCACATGGTGGGGGGCCTAGATGGTTACAGAGCACTTCCTCTTATTAACAGCGACTGTGGGGAGAGAGATAAGGAGGGATTGGCTTCCCCAATTATAGCAGAAGCTCACATTTCCCCACCACACATCCCTAGCTACCTTTCTTCTTTCTCTTTCGCATCCCCAAGAAGAGAAAAATCCATATATCCCTCCAAAATTCTTTACCAAGTTCGTAGCACACAACAACACGTGAATTTGTAATCATAAAATAAATAAAAAATAAAAAGAAGGAAACAATTGCAAGTTGCATGCACACAACACACGCATCCATCCACACATCCCCTCCTTGCTCCTTTTTGGAGAAAGAAATCATGGAAAATGACTTTACATCCAAGCAAACAGTAGTTTTGTTGTCCCCTTTCTCTCTCTCTCTCTCTCTCTCTCTCTCTCTCTCATTGTCTTGTATAATTAAGTGTCTTCTTCAATGACAACGCCTTTGATTAATATATATGGGAAAAAAATCACCATCTAATCATTTACAATCGTTCATATATGCGTAAATAAATCGATAAATCACAATATGTGAAGCAAATAGAAATTCAAGAAATGGCCTCATTCATATTACTCATCACTATAAGTACAATAATGTCATCAAGTTGCTGTACAATCAATATGCCGATCAACTTGTGCTATCAGTTTACCATATTACTACTCTTGCTTTGCTACCCTAATCCTACAAATAATAATAATAATTAATAATATCACTCCTAATCCTAACATTATGACATTGTTATTGGGTTCCTGACAGATAACCAGCTGAAGCAGATGAGTAAGCAAGTGAGCAAGGAGAAGAGCCTTGCAGTTGAAGCAATTGAGCTGGTGTGACTGAAGAGGATGAATTTTTCAAGGCATTGCTCGCTGGCTTATGGGCCTCGCCTCCAACCGGGGGCTGATCGTGTCGAATCTCTCTTAGCAATGCTGCCACATCCTTCATTGTTGGGCGATCCTCTGCCCTGTTGCTGGTACAGAGGAGAGAGATTCCAAGAGCTTGGAGCATTTCTTGTATCTGAGTGTCCGGGTAGCCTTGAAGCTTAGGATCAAGAATCTCCACTGGGTCCTTCTTGCCCTTGAGGTGGTCTCGAACCCACTGAATCACATGTTGGCCATCTGTGAACGATGGGTCTACAGGCTTTTTCCCAGTTATGATCTCCAAAAGCACCACCCCATAGCTATAGACATCGCTTTTTGCAGTAATTTTTAGCATGCAAGCATATTCTGTTCAAATTAACATTTAAATTTAAAGTCAGCGTTACAGTGCGGAAGAAATTAAACAATGCAAGATTAAGAGAACAACAAATGCAGAAAAGATTACTGTAAAAAGTAAGCATCCAGCCAAAGCACCAAGAATGTGATGTTTTTGGACACAAGCTAATGCAAAGCGAATGTGATGTCATGTCAAACAGTTGAAGTTTCTTTTCCAAAACCAGCAGAATTTGCGATCATCATTGTGATTTCACAGAACAAACACTAAAAGCAACAAGAAAACCTGCAATTACAGGGGTTACAGTCTACTAAAGCTGTACTGCAAAACCCTATGTTGCTTTAGTTTGTGAAAATAGCAAGGACAACGGACCCATCTCAGAAATGATGGAACATCTGTCACATTCGCATGTCCCATCCATCAAATTCATCCAAACATGTATCTTCAAGAATTACAAGACTAATTATCAAAATTACAAGTCAATCTTAAGAATCACATAATTGAGCAATGAAAAGAAGTGAGAAGTTAAACCCATGATTAAAAGACAACGAAAACGATATTAAAAAGTTAAACTTTTTTAACTTACCAGGCGCAATGTAGCCGTACGACCCAGCAAATTGGGGATTGGCTGAAAAGGGACCGTTCTGATCGTCCTCCTCAACCAACCTAGCGAGCCCAAAGTCCGCCAAAACGGCCTCGTATCGATCCCCTAGCAAAATGTTCTGGACCTTCACGTCCCGGTGCAAGATAGCCGGCTGGCAATCGTGGTGCAAATACGCCAATCCCTCCGCCACGCCCAGCGCTATCCTGAACCGGCTGTCCCACTCCACTAATCCCGCGCACCCCTCGTGCAATAACGAACCCAAATTACCGTTAGCCAAATAGTCGTAGAACAGTAACTTCGTCCTCCTGTTCGCGCCCCAACCTAGTAACCGTACGATGTTACGGTGTCGTATTCTTGCCAGCGTGGCAATCTCCGAGGAAAACGCGGACGCTGAGTATTTCTCTGACGTACGGAACCTTTTTACCGCGAGAGAAGGACCCGAGGGGATGGTGACTTGATAAACGACGCCGGATCGGCCCCGCCCTATGACGTTGCAAGGGGTTAAACTTCGCGCCACGTCAACAATCGACAGTTCGAGCTTCTGGTACAGCGTCACCTCCCACGGCGGGCCCACGTCGACCTCGCTGTCGTCCTCCGGGTCGGGCGAGTGGGATCCGCCGAAAAGGCCCGGTGGGCCCCTCCTCTTAGCTCCAAGGATGATGTAGAAGGCCGCTAAGAAGAGTGCGCACGCGGTGCACAGTAGCACCACCATGGCCACGCGGGCTGCTACACTGCGCCTGCGGGACCCACCGCCCGTATTGTTGCTGTTCTCCGCGCACTGGCTGTTGCCGGAGAAGCAGAGCGAGGGGTTGCCGGACAAGACGCTCAGGGGAAGCTTCGCGAAGAAGGGCGTGTCCGGGACGCGCCCCGAGAAGTTGTTGTGCGAGACGTTGAGGACCACGAGATTCTGCATGGCTGCGAGAAATTGGAGGTCGCCGGTGAGCTGGTTGTGAGAGACGTCTAGAATCCCGAGCTTGTCCAAGTCGGCGAACTCCTTCGGTATATCGCCGGAGAGTTGGTTCCAGCTCAGGTTCAGAGCGATTTCGAGCGCCGGAATCTTGCCCAAGCTTGCCGGAATATTCCCTGTGAGGTCGTTCCCGCTCAGGTCCAGTAACTGTAGCTTCGGGCACGAACCGAGTTCACTCGGAATCGCACCTGTAAACTGGTTCTTCCCCAAAACGAGTTTGGTGAGTGAACTCAGCGATCCGAGTCCCGCACTCAACGTCCCCTCGATCAAATTATCCGAGAAATCAACGAATTGGAGAGACACGAGCTGATCAAAACTTCCGGGAAAATTTCCCCCAATCGAATTGGAATGCAGGTCGAGAAATGTCAGATTCCGGCAGCCGGAGATATCCTCCGGTATAGTTCGGGTGAGCCGATTCGATCCAAGATCCAAGAAATTCAAGTTCCTCAAGTTCCCGATTTGCGGCGGGATCGCTCCCGTGAGCTTGTTGCCGCTAGCCCGAAATCGAATCAACGACGAGCAGTTTCCAATCTCTGGCGGTATTTCGCCAGAGAAGTTGTTCGATAGGAGCAGAAGCTTCGTGAGCTTTTGTATATTGAAGAGCCCTTCGGGAACTGGACCATTCAAACTGTTCTGCGACAAATCAACTGCCTCTAGATTCAGACAGTTAGAAATCGACGACGGAACGGTTCCTTCGAGCTTGTTATGCCACAAGAAGAGCAGAGTGAGATTGGATAAGTTCCCGAACTCGGCGGGTATCGAACCGGTGATCTGATTATTATCGAGCTCAATGTGAGTGAGTTTTCGGCAGTTTCCGAGTTGCGCCGGAATCTCGCCCGATATTTGATTAACGCTCAGCTGGAGTTCTTGAAGCGAAGTCAAGTTTCCGAAAGACTGCGGTATGCTTCCGGTCAATAAGTTCATGGAGATGTCGATGACTTGCAGCTTGCGGCAGTTGCCGAGCTCTGGAGGTATGACCCCAACCAAGTTGTTCTGCCACAGGAGAAGGTTTTGAAGGTTGTTTATGTTGCCCAATTGGCTCGGGACCGATCCCGTTATCGAGTTCTCATACAAATAGATATCCCGGAGCTCGGAGCAGTCTCCTAGTTCAGGGGGGATCGGGCCCGAGAGCAAGGCTGTGTAGATTGCGAGTGTTTCGAGTTTTTTTAAGAGGCCAAGGGTTGAAGGGAGGGAGCCTGATATGCTTGTTTCTGCTAATCCCAGCATGAACAAATTGTTGCAGTTTCCAATCTCGTGAGGCAGAGGGCCTTCTAAGTTCTTGTTCCCACCAGCTCTGATCACTTGAAGATTGTGCAGTTTGCCTATGGAGCTGGGGAGGCTCCCGCTGAGCTGATTGTCGAACAGGACCAGCCATTTCAAGCTTGTGAGGTTGCCGATTTCGATTGGGATTGAGCCCTCTAATCGGTTCGTGCTGAGGTAGAGCTGTTCAAGCTTTGGCAGTGAGCAGATCTCAACTGGGATTTCTCCGCTCAATGCATTGTCGCTCAGGTCCAAGAGAGTAAGCTCTTGGAGAGTTGAAATTTGCTTTGGTATTGAACCAGTGAGGTTTGTGCCTGAGAGTGTAAGCTTGCTGATGGTTGACAGTGAGGTGAAATTGGAAGGGAGCTTGCCGAGCAAATCAAGGTACTTCAAATTCAATTCCACCACTTGGTTGTTGGGGTTACAGGTGACACCAAACCACCCACATGGATTTTGATCACTTGGGTTCCAGTTCCTCAAGGCCTCAGTGGAGCCATTGATGCTCTGCTTCCATGAAAACAGAGCTTGGCCTTGTGGGTTGAGGGCCAAAGCCAGAGGAGAAACAGAGAGGAAGACTAGGAAGAAGGAGGAGAGGAGGAGGAGGGGCCATGGATATACAGGCATTACAACAAACAGTTGAGCTACAGACTCCAACAAAAGGAAGCGAAAGAAGGGTCTGGTCTGAGGAGCCTAGGAGGGAGGGACAATGAGAGGAACCCAATCATGTCTGGTGGGCTATCTGTATATTATTTTAAATAGCTCTGCATAACAAATTGAAAGACCCAAAATCTCCGGATCCAAGAACAGCTAGGCCATGATGTTGGTGCAGAGTGAAATGGAATTTCAGATGGTTGTTTTTTCTGCATTTGTTTATGGTAGGAGGAGAGGTGGGGGGAAGAGAAGGGCTAACTGTTTTTTATTCAAACAAACAGGAGAGAGAGAGAGAGAGAGAGAGAGAGATGGGTGCTTGCTTTGCTTGGGTCTGTGACTTTTGTCTAAATTTTTTTAGTCTGATGATACTTTTTTTTCCCTTTTTATTTGGGCCTTATACAAAAACAATGACCTTTCACTTTCTCTTGGATTGGATTGGATTTTTCTATTTCTATTTTTTTTATACATAAGAAAATGCAGAAAAGAAAAAGAATTGAGCTCAAAATCCTTGAGCTTACTGGATTTTGTCAGTTGCTTCATATTTGACCAACTAGCATATGGAGGAGTCTGACTCATCCTCTGTTCTTGGTGGTGGAGTTGGATGTTGCATCAAATTCCTATGCAGTAGTGAAATCTTTTCCACCTCTAAATTTTTGTTTTTTTAATTGAGAATTGGCAATTTGGCATATTGCAATTGGTAAACCAGAAAATATGCCTCCAATCCAAAGTCACCCTTTAAAAAAATTTAAAAAGCTGCAAAAGAAAAACAAAGCTGAAAACTCTGCGAGAGGAGGCTACTAATACTATAATTACATCTAATCCATGTCCCACGTTAGTTTAAACACCATTCATAATTTGAACGTTAAAACTGACCTCAGATTTAGATCTAAATCTACATCAGAAAATATATATATATATATATATGCTGCATTTAAGTACTGCTCCAAAAAAATATTACATCACTGATTCATTTATTCTCTCATCTAAATGTTTATATGTTATTATCGTGTAGATGCTGTAATAAACAATGAAGAAAGCAAAGATGGATAATAAAAAATACACGGATAAGAATCTATATATATGTAATTTGAACTATGAATTTCATATCTTTTAGAATTATTCCTCTGGATAAGAATCAAACAGTAAACCCACCAAATCCAGTTGTGTAGTTTTCATATACATCATATATGCAACTTACAAGTTCAAAATATAATTACCCTTTTATCCCATTATAATTCATAATTAACCAGATTTATAGTGCTGGGGACTATTGACTTGGTGGTCTTCTGCAACCCACTAAACTGGCACCATTTTAATATTAAATACTTAAATCCCACTGAGAATTGTAATTAGCGGGGAAAAAACTGCTCACGTGATGTGGTGTGTCAAGAGGGAGGGAGGCCATACTGATGAGAATATAAGAATCATTTAGGTTAATTATATTAGGATTAATTTGTTGATTATCTGTTCACACATAATGGCTGCTGCTTGCTTGCAGGCTCGTGACTTCACTGAGAAGAGGTTCATAATATTATTTTAATCATATATATGAATCTGGGCACGAGATGAGAGAAGGGTTTGGTCTTGCACATGAGGATAGGGGGAGAGAGAGAGAAAGAGAGAGAGGTTTATATTATGGGGCCAAACCGGCCACGGTGTAGGACACAGATTTCTGTGTTATTCAGTCTTTTTGCATTGTCGTTGGCCAAAAGTTAGACGTACCACTACCCTAATATATATACATCTCAACTAATTTCCTTAATTTGTCTTCTATAATATTTGCTATCTACCACTACTGAAAATCCATATGCTTGAACTAAACTTATCAAAAGAAAATGATGAGGTTTTGTGTTCGATTAATCGCCTCTCAAGGGCGGAATCAAGAATTTTTATAGGAATGGGCTATTATTTCTTATATGGACAAAAATTTAAATAAAATTATATCCATTTTCTTAACGGAGAAAACTTGAAGCTAACCAGAGATATGTTTGGTTATAGGCTAATTTTGCTTAAATGAACTGGTCTAATTTATGTAAACTGAGGTATAATGCCTAAAAAGTTAATACTGATTTTTTTTCCCCAAATTTTGCACTAGGCATAGTGTAGTTCTGCCCTTGCCTCTTTAATATCGATTTGTATAAAATAAAATAAAATAAAAAACAGAGAACCATCACATACAATGCCTTAATGTTATCTTGTTAGATAAGTTAGTGTGTGATACACATGCATTTAGAATTGTCAATCGGAATCCACGTGTAAAATTATTTTAATATAATATATTTATAAGTTTGTAAGCGCTTATTGTAGTTCAATTGGTTAAGAACATCTACTTGCATACTAAGTGGTTTTAGGCATTCAAAAAAATAGATTGAAGCTTATTTAGATATATAGATGGGCTATATACACAAAATGGAAAATGTGGTAATACATTTTGAGAGCCAATCTTGGTGGATATAATTGCATGGAGATTGAAGGTAAGCACATCATGTGCACATAATAGATTTGGCCAAAGCTGCATAGTGGGTAAGGCCATTTAGCTTTTAGCTTTCAGCCTTTCACCAATTTATTTTCCTTTGATTTTAGCTATTCTGGGTTTGGGGCCATGACGCATATGCATGTTAGGATCACCATGTCACCCTTTAATTTGATACTTTCAATTTCAACCGCAAAGCTTTCTTCTGCAGTGGTTTGCATATGCTAAATTTAAAAGTCTAAAATATTTATATTTAATATTTTGCAATGGATCTTGCTATCATCCGTAAATGTATGTTGATTCAATTGTGAATTTCGCGTGCATTAATAGTAATGCACACACGGCCATGTGTTGGTACGTGCATTAGTCTTTTGGCATTCCTTTTCCGAAAGAAAAAAAATATATCATAATTAACACTGATAATTGAACCGCACAAAACAAAATTTGGGGCCATCTATACAAAACATAATATAGCATTATTCAACCGATTAATTGACATGATATGACCGAAATTGGCTTCGAGTGTGCAAGTACGTAGACAAGTAGGGATAAAGTCGGCAGCATGCAGATTAAGAATCTAGTGGATAACAAATATTATCAGGTGTTTTTCACCATCTTCTTCTTCTAGTTGATGAAATATAGAAGATAGTTCCGTTCCGTGTTGGAATGATTAGATCTAAAAAGCTTTCAATATTGGCTAGAGACTACTGTCTATGTACAGCATGTCACACCAATTCAAGATGGGGATGAGGTCCCTTGTCTAATATTATTCATGTCCGATTTCACGTACGTTTTGATCGTTAACCAGCAATTATGATTACTTGTTTTCGTCCACTTCATAATTTGTTTGATAATATAAATCGTTTATTTTTCATGTCTTCATTCGCAAAAATGTCCTCAAATAATAAAGTAGTGATGCATGATCTTACCAAGTGGTTTGGGTTGTCAACCCAATAATTTAAATGACATCACATCAAATTTCCTAACTGGTCCGTAATTGGATTAGGAAGAATTGAATTGAGGAGGAGTTGAAATGATGAGAATTAGATTCCGGATTCCTATTGAAGTTGTTTACGAAACCATATGGAATTGGAGTATAAGTGATACTAATTATTAAGATATCCTCGTTGTTGAGTTAAAATAAATGACAAATTTGGAATTTTTAAAATTATGTGAGGATATAATTGGTTAAAAAAATGAATTCATGATGGGTTAGTTATCTAGGAATTAGAATACCACCTCTCATCCAAGAATTGAATTCCTCTAAAATCAAGAATTCAATTCCTAATTTTGTGTGAGCCCCGTTTACTTTTTAATTCATTGATATGAAGTAAACACATGAATCCTCCATATGCGGAATTCAATTCTTAATGAGAATTTCAATTCTTTATTAATAAATACACCATAAATTATATTTGGATAACATAACATGTAAAATTGTACATGATTCTATATCTATGTGACCTCAATTATTTGAGTCTATAGCATTAATAATAGTTTATACAAACTGAGAATTTTTGCTTTCGTTATAATAAACAGAAATTTGGAAACGATGGTGACATAAAAGAATTGTTTTATTTATTTATATATATTAAAAAAAATTAACAAGAATCACCAAAGACCAACCAAACTATGAATTGAATTCCGCTGTGAAGTCCTCCAACAAAATCTAGAAACTTATATGAATATACTTGACATGGATCTCCACTTTATTTTATAAAATACATACACGTCCATTATCAGTGTGCTTTACATTAATAAATTAATGTTTTCTAATAATTAGCGAATCAGTATTATCATTCGTCAAAGAAAACAAAAATAAGTGATTTTAATTTTAATTTTTGAAGCATGCACGAGAATATGTTTGTATATAAAATGTTAAATCACATCGATATATAAATAGCATTAAAGGTGTACAAGATCTAATCCAATTCGCTTAAATTGACCGATCCAATCTAATCTAATTCAATATTTCAATGTATCCTACTTCATTAGTGGTCTAAGACGCATACTAATGGAAGATTTGGGCATCTCCCATCTTATAATTTGTCCCAAATCTTTAGCAGTCAAACTTCTTTTCATTTCTTTATGTTTTTTCCCCCCACCAAGTGTCCTTTATGTTTTTTTTTTCTGCTTCCTTTTTTTTGTGTGTGTTTAAATAAGAACGCATTATTGCTGTAAATCTCAACAACTCTATAAATATATTTTATAATTCGGAGTTTTGATGTATGCTTTCTTTGTCCACGTGGAAAATGCCCAATTGTCTAGTATAATATTACCTTCTTTTTTTTTCATAAGCAAAATAAAATTACAAAGCAAAACCACGAGGGTAACCTCCTCCAAGCAAATCAAATTTAAGAGCATGGAGAACTCAATTTGGAACAATGTGATACCAAATGTGCGAAGAATTCAACTGGTGTCTCGAGTATGTGATTGCATATGCAATGAAATTAGTCTCTCTAAAAATTAACTTAAAAGAAAGAAACGAGATGTTGGATATTCGAAATCCAGTATAATATTACTTTCTCCCATTATATATACATTTTAATGGGAGAGATAATATTACTCTCCCCCATTAAAATGTATATGCTTTGTTAGGCAGCATTTGTTAATTAAAATGTAGACACAACTATTGCCAATCCATCTTGCATGATGCAACGCAAACAGGCTCTCATAGTATATATTAAAAGTTTTTCAACAATAATTGAGCAAAAAAGATCCAAGAACCATGATAATTTTTTGACCGACAAACTTTTGCATTTTCCAAGTACATTCATATTCATATCCATGGCATGGCCCATTGGATCGTTTGGATCAACAACAACACGAGTGGAATTAATTAAGTACATTAATTTGATTGATATGCATGTGTCATCATCATCAGTTAGGAAGTTAATTACGTGCATTATTGCAATTAATCTCATATTTTAAGCACTTTATGAAGGTTAACTATTCTTTCCCTTGACTTTGAGAGGCATGATTTGCCCTAGCTTTTTATCTATTTGCTGCTCTTTATGTGTTGGTGGGTTTTTGTTGTATCGCTTTCAATTCATATGGAATGTTCTTCCCTTCTTTCAAGGTTAATGGCCTAATTAGCTTTTCTTCTTTCGGCGCTTTGTATATAATTTACATTGTTTAAATATATATATATATATATATATATGTATGCATAGCTTTATCTCTTTAAGACCGGAAATTCAGATATCATGCAAGAAAGCTTTGTCCACAATGTTGACAACATTATCTCACATACGTAAGAACTGGACGGCTGGTAGGGCTTGCATAGTGGTTTTGAAGATTTTTGTTCGCATCTCCGTTAATTTCAAACAAATTAGGTTGGATGCTCATATTCTAATACGACATCAATTTACCTTGAAATTCGAAATTAAATGGTCAAACCTAATATATACACTTACAAAGATTGGTAAGGAATGAATGACATGTGCCCAACGACAACAAAACGCGGTGATTAGCAGAGGTTTATTGAATCAATCTATAATTGGATTAATTAAAAAAATATCCTTAATTTTTGTAGAAGTCAGCTCATGAACATACAGGCAATCATTTACGACTCTATTTTAAATATAATTTTTTCATACAATAATTGTACTTTTTAGTGATATTTGTAATTCAAGTAACCTACATTTGGTAATATCCAGTGGGTCTTACATGTTCTTACCCAGCTCAAACGATAATATTGGTCAATAAGGTCAAAGAATTCTTAATTAATTCTCAAGTTTTTCCTTTCCACATGCTTATATATACGGATTCGAATCTTCTGCTATAATTTTCTTTGTCACAATCTGCTTGACTTTCATTGTTCTCTAGAAGCTCCTCGACTTGGACCAAAACTGGATGCTCCTGGATTTGTATTGTTCAATCTGCTTGGTATGACTTTCTCTGCTATCAAAAGAAGACAATCCCTTCCCTCCCAATAATCTGAGACCTCAGAGAGCCATTTACAATGCACCCAACAATTTGATCACTCCACCACTCAAGAATAAAAAATTCCGAAGAAGCCCAATCTAATGCCACCCAAAAGCCCAATATATCTCCGCACCCCAAAACGGCCCAGTTTATCACACATCTCTCTTCCCCCCACTAATGAAAATGAAATTGGCGGGATTTAAATGCGAATTTTATTTAAATAAAACAAAACTCTGAACTCGGGGTGACTCACTCGTCAGTCTAGCAGCAATGGACAGCCAACCGGAGGAGTCCGTACGGACGAAGATGGAGTCGCTACGGATGGCCTGCGAGAAGGAGATTCCGATTCTGCAGCAGAACATGGATACCTTCACGGCCTCGTTTCAGGGCGACCTGGCTTCGATCCGCGCCACAGTGCAAGAAACCCTCCGATACCAAGGTCCAGCTTCTCGTTTAACTCTCTGTGGTTTACTCGATGAATCTATTTGTTTCTTGAAGATACTTAAATTTAGGAATAACCTTGTGATTTGTACGTAATTTGAGTTTTTAGGCAATGTATGGTTCGTGCAAAATTAGGGTTTCAGATTGGATCCACGAGAGGGCTGCCGCTCCACATTATTGTGAATCTCAATTTGACTGAAATTTAATTTCTTTCCAACAATCACAGGTAAAGTACGAGAGGCTAAAGCTAAGTTGAGGGAAGCTGAGGATGAATTGTTTAAAGCCCTAGCAGGTATCTATCTCTGCTTCTATTTTGCATCTGTAAGTGATAAATTTGAAATTGAAATTTCAAAGTTAATGACACTGATTATTATTTAGTAGTAATATCCCTGAAGCTAATCTTCAACTCAACATTCATGATATGCATTCATTTCCATTGCCATTGCTGCCCTTACTATAATTAGCTGAAATCTTTGTTTTTTTTTTTTAAATGATTATTTATTTCAAATTAACCTGTGTTAGTATTTTTTTTATTTAAATTTTTGTAGTGAAGACACGTAAAGAGGCTAAGCGGATGGCATTGATGGACGCCATTGCTGCTAGGAAAGCTAGGATTGAAGAAATTAAAAGAACAGTGCAAGGTCGAAGGGATACGAGGGATGAATATGCAGCAATTCTTTCTCAGCAATCTACCGGTAAGTTCCTTAATTGTTTCAGTGATTGGAGTCATTGTTGCCTTTTGCATATAACTTTATATCGATTTAAATACTTATCAATAGTTAAACTTTTGTTATTTATTTGATTGCACTGTGGCTTAATGAGGGGTGACTGCATTTTGAAGGAAAGGAATATATAATTGTGTTGACAACTTCTTTTGTGCCATATTTCCTTTTTTTAATTTTAATTTTATTTTATTATAAATTTTAGTAACATCAAAACTTTGGCAGAATCTGAAGAAGAGTTTAACCAAGACAGTAAAGATGAAATACAAGAGGCCATCTCGTGGTATAATAGGATTCTTGGTTTTCATATTGAAGGCGGACATGGTAATTGACGTCATTTGATTGTGCAACATTTTTTTGTGTATCTATATGTGGAGAATGACTTACGACCTTCTGTCATTAGGGGTAAAATTCACATTCAAGAACATTTGTTCAAAAAATCCAAATCAGGAGTTCTCTTTCACTGTCCGCCATGCAAATGATACTTACACATGTAAGCATTGCACTTATTTATTGGTTATAGTTTGATGTTTAATGTATATCTGATATTCATTTCTTGTAATCCTTAGTGTTAGATTGTGATCCGCACTTGAATGAGATCAAAGAGTTGATTCGTGAATTGAACAGAACCAATGGATTATTTAAATTTGTCAGAGATATGAGACTGAAGTTTCAAGAAGCTACAGCTCAAGGTAGAACTTCTCTCTTGCATCTTTCCTGGGTCTTGCATGCTGGAAAGGGGACACCCTTTAATAGGGGTCCCATATTTTATTGTAAAACATAGTCAATTTTCTTAGTAATTATAACCAAAAAAAAATAATTAACAGTTTTGCCTGACTCTCGTCCACTTACCGAAACATTGTGTTTTCAGTTGACATTTGGTAGAAGTTTAAGGATTAGACCACTCTGTTACCCATTGTTTCTGGTGTAATGTGTCCATTATGATTCAACAGGATTAGCCGCTGTTCTTCCTCAAGACTCTTCCTCAATTTCTGGGTCTGCTCCAGCTTTTTCAGTGTCAACTGAGAGAAGTGAATCTGTGGCCAAGATTGGTGAGCACCAAATTCAATATGGAGAAGGTAATAGCCAATTCAAGAAACCTAACCATGGAAAGGGGAGTAAATATGCACTCCTATCTCCTAGGTCTGCATCGTCTGTGCGTCGGTCTCCTCGTTTTAAGGTATTTCCTTCTTTAGGTTTTATAGTTTTTTGCTTTCTTCTCATTTTTGTCTGCTACTTGTGTACATGGCTCACACCTGTATACCATTCTACAATAGTTTCTTGTAGAATTTTTTTTGGAATGAAATCTTTTGAATTCCATGATAGGTCAAGAAATGAAGATAGAAAGAGGCTGTCGGTCATCTTTAGTTTGAGCAAATGTGCATCACATGCTCTAAACTCCTCAGAGTAATCATAATTCACAACTAAGGATGCTTGACGGCATTCATGTTTGACATGGGAGTCAGGAAACTTGATTTCTCCGTATTTAGATAACTTAACAGAAAGAAACAACTTCATCGATGAAGTGTTGCAGCCCAACGTGACAGCAGCACCTTGTTGCTGGATTTGGTTTACTCATGTACTCTTCATTGAACTGAGCCACTGATGCGTGATTGAATGTAAGGCTTTTGTAATCCCAAAATACTATGCTAGTGTATGCGTGCATTTCAATTGTATTTAATCATATCTTATATTTTGATTTGTCATCATTTCATGTATTGTGTGTTATTACTTCTCTGCAGTACAGCACATGGGTTATATCTTTGTTTCTCTTCACAATTTGTTTGGTTGTAGTAGTTTCACCTTCTCATGAGACTCAGGTCTTCTTGTATCTCCTTTTAATTGGTTGTGATCATGTATTTCACACGCCAATTATAAGAAAATTATTCTTATGACAATTAAAATATGCCAATCATGTATTGTATATGCTGTTAGAATTTACATCGCACATGCTCGTATTTTCGGTAATATGAAAAGTTGTATCGAAGAACCGAATTCCAGATTTTGTTGTATTATAAACAGTGAAAATAGGTATCCAAGTTCTTTCAGTTATTAAATTACCGTGGAGTTTATTGTGAAGTAGGCCTCTCTATCTACCCTTTGCGTATATAAATACACTTTATATACATGGCTTTAATGGCAGAGAAAAAAAAATACACATTTTCTAAGCTGTTGGTTGATATAGTAGTCTATGGATTAGCAGACGGGTCTGCTTCCACAACTTACGAGCTTCAGATTCATCATTTGCTAGGTTCGAGCAGTCACTCTCATTGCAGTCTGCAAAGTATTTCCCACTCACCCCTTCTACTTCTGGGCTCAAAGCAACATAGCACGTGGTCGAAGCACCCTGTAAAAACGAATTCCAGCAAACTTCAACAAACAAATTTTTATTTTATATTTTAAAAAATTAAGAATAAAAATGCCTGCTTTATTGCTCCGTTACAAACCTGGGATGTTGATTTTAGTAACTTGGATGCTATGAAGAACACAGAATCTGCATGGAAATAAAAAGGGTTCCATGAAATTAGATTTCATTTCACGAAACTGCAACATTATTAATTCACACGCCAATTTAAATCAAAGGAAAGAATCCATGCCTGTGATGAAGCCCTTGTGAGCTCTTATAATTCCGGTCTTCACGATCCCCGGGTGCACCGCATTGACGCTTACTCTCGCATTTCTTGCCTGTAAATTTTTAATAAGAAGAAGATTAGTGTGGTAGAGATCGCTATATGCAACCGGCGCATACAAAAATTCTTCGACAAAAAGGTAAATAAGAAGAAATGAGACTACCTTCAGGTGTCTTGCCAGTTCCTTAACATGCAATATGTTAGCCAATTTGGACTGTGCATATGCTCTTGTGCCATTATAACTGCATGGACAAAATTGTTAACAACAGTATTCACAGTTTACTAATGGCTTGATCAGGAGAAATAGTGTGATTTTATACTTCTTTGGGTTGAGCAATTGATTGAAGCAGAAACCATCCCTCTTGACCCAGCTGTGGATCACAGAAGAAACATTGATTATTCTTCCTCGGATGCCAGTCTGGGCCGCTGTTTCCACCATTTTATCCAACAGCTTTTCTGTCAAAAAATGATGTCCTGCAAAAGAAATCAAAAAAGATTTTATTATCAAAACCCAGATTAAATTAAATCGACACCTTCAAATTCAATTCTTCTTCATCCCACCAAAAAAACAAAATGATTTGAATGGCCATGCGTTGCCCAAATAGGCTTCTGCAAGGGACAACAACAAAAACAGTGATGTGTATGTATGTGACCAATATTAAAGATCGTGTCTGGTCTGGTGGTCCATTGCACACACTATAGGACACATAAAACTGGCCCAATTTTTCTTGTCATCTTTTGCGAGTGAGCCCAAAATTTGTTCTAAAGCAATTGAGCTGTTCATGGTTTGTATGTGAAACTTTTTTTTTTCTACCCCCTCTTTTTTTTGTTCTTCTTTTTTTCTGGTTGAAGATATCAGATGGGTAGAATATAAAAAATAGAAAAAATACCCAAGTAGTTTGTAGCAAATGTCATCTCAACTTTGTCTTCAGAATACTCCAAAGCTTGAGAAAATACTCCACCATTGTTTCTGCAAATCAAAGATTTCATGCACCATAAAAACAAGAAGTTGATTAAAGAAGCAAAGAAGATAAAAAGTACATGAAGAAAACTTTACATGAGGATGTTGAGGGGTAGCCTTAGAGCCAAGAACTCAGAGCAGAATCTGTTGACAGAAGCAAGTGAGCTGAGATCAATCTCCAATATTATAACCTCAGCCTTTGGGCTCTCTCTTTGAATTTCATCCTTCACTTCAGCTGCCTTCCCTAAATCTCTCGCCGGGATGACGATCCTCACCCCTCTCTTTGCCAGTACTCTTGCTGTCTCAGCTCCAATGCCTGACGTTGCTCCTTTAACAAATCGTAGAATTCTTATTCAAATGAATATCTTTATTCCATGCAAATTGCCAAAAAGAATGAAATGTTATCATGTGAAAACTTTTAACTAACCAGTGATTATGGCAGTGAGATGAGAAGGGACTGAGGAACAACAATCTTGAGAAACTTGCTCAGCAGTTGATTTTGAGCCATAACCACTTGGGCCTGCAATTCCTGCCAAGTATCTGAGTGTCTCCTTCATGGGGCTCCCAACAAACTCAGAATCCTATAGACACTACTGCAAGGAGAGACTTTTTTTTGGTGGAAAACACATTTATTTATAGTGCTGCATACATACAGCAGAGGACGTGGGTAATTTTAGGCTAGTCTCCGGACCACCTTAAGAAGCGCGGTCTCGACCAATAAACACAAATGTTTGAAATTTTCTGATGCCAGTCAAGGAAAATGATTGGTTAGGTTGAGTTGAGTTGAGTTGAGAGTTGGGTGGGTTAAGTGATTTTGAGTACATATTTACTTTAGAGGAAACCCAATTGAGATAAAAATGCAATGCACCCATGACTTTTTTTCCTTGTCTTTGTTTCACATAATTATTACTGTCTGTATGAGTGGCTTACATATGCATATATTTTGTGATAGGTTTGATGTGTGAGTCTGTCATTTCCAAGCCATGATTAATTTACTTAATTAATTAAAAGTTACCATCATATATATGAAATTAATCATCATTATCATCATCCATCACAATTCACAAAAAGAAAAGCATATATATTTATATATATATATGTCACTTGAACAGTATATTCTTTCATGTACAGTAAAATGGTGGTTGATCGTTGCCCACAGCTTTTTTATCTTCTAAAAACTTGGACCACATTGGCTGGATATGACCGCCCTTAATATCTTTGCGTATTAGATAATTTCTTCCTAGCCAATCATCTCAGGAGAAATTACCGTCCTCTAATGCCGGCCAAAGCAAGAAAAAAGTAATAATAATGATCAACTTGTGCTTAGATTAGGTGCTTGATTGCTCTATATTTAAGTAGAAATTAAGATTAATTATCATCCATCTTGCTTTACAAGTCTCTAGTCTGTGTTGTTACTGTGCATGGGCAAAACATGGCATCGATCCCTTGCATCATAGCATATATGCGTTATATGACCCATGTTCTATAACATATATCCATGCATACAAAAAATCTCTTATGTGGACGTCTGTACGTTATTATCGTTCATACGCCATGTATTTTCTACTATTCCTTCCTGTTTACAATGACGTCTGCATAATAATAACGTGCGTACGTCCGAATAAGAGAATAACTATCCATGCATATACATATCATGTTGCATGGACCAAATTAATAAATTAAAGAAAAAAAGGATGTGAATTATGTTGTTTTTTGGCTCTACACGTGCACATAGGAAATGAGGGTTTGCAGATGATAAGTACATTACATGCAATCTTTGAGTTCGAGAGTTTGAAGCTTAAGAGAGAATTTACAAATTTACATGTAGACTTGCAGGGCCATAGACAAAAATGCCTTGTTGCGTGCGATATGTCCCTCACGTCTCTCCTTTGGTCCTTTTTTGTCCCCATGGCCATTTCTGAATTTTCATTTTTTTTCTTCCTCCCATTGATCCTTTTTGTGTTGAGAAATGAATGATGGGTGGTGTTGGATCTTCAAAGGACTAAAAGAGAGCAATGAAGTTGACCCTTCAACAATGGAGTGTGAACTGGCTACTGCACAAGGGTCCCATTGTGTTTCCCAACTTGCCTACACCTCTCATGACATGCCACAGATACAAGAAGCACTTCTCCCTCACTTTTCTTCAAATTACATCCATTTTTCAACAATCTTGCCCTAACTTTAATTGGCTTCTTATATATTTTCATGGCATGCGATGCGATGATGCTAAAAAGTGTCAAAAACTAAAGTTGAGCTTGATGTGTTGGAATATTGAAAAAGGCCATTTGTTTTTGTACATATTTGCTTACACGCTTGCATTGCAGCTGCTTGTTGGATACAAAAGGTAAAAGAAGGATGAGTGAACAAGGGCTTTTTGGATTTCAACTATTTTGCATGTAGTTTTGTCGTGGGCGTGACCTATCAGAATAATATGCCTTTTTCAGCCATTTACATGTATTAGATGAATTACATATGTACATGTATATATGTGTAGAGCATCTTCAACAATTCATTTAATTGTTTAGGAATGCTAAAATAGGAACTCTCTCCAACAACTTTGTCAAACTCAGTTACCAAAAGCTGCAACTCATATCTTTCTCTTCAGAACTGGCAAGTTGACATTAGCTCTTCAACACATTTAATTTTGCTTTAAAATAACAAAACCGACATAGACTTTTTTCACAATTTTTCGTAATTTTTTCCTTCATAATATTGCACTAATTGAATCGAATAATTTGTTAAGGAACAAATTATCACATAGGTCAATAAACTTCAATTTGGAAAATTTAGTTACTGTTGGAGATGCTATCACGTACTTACATGTATAGCTACATTAATTATTACATACTTACATTCATATAATTCATTTTTGTCCTCTCTTTTCTTAGACCTTTATATAACTTGGACTGGTCATACATTTATATCAATTCAATATAATGAACATATAAACATATTGATGACCTTCACTAGTTCTTGGTCAATGTAATCACTAACCGTCTATCTTCTCATTCAAGCATAAGATTAGAGATTTCCTTTCTATTTTTGCAAATGATTCTAGTCAATTGCTTGAGAAGTTGGACATTCTTTTCCCCTTTTAAATATATTCTAAGCACAACATTATGGAATAAATATATTTATTTTCTTTTGGGAGAGGATACGTAGCCTACTAACTAATGTGATTCATGTGACCAATACATTAAGAGAAGGTGGAACACATTCACATAGAAAAATTAGATTTAGTAGATGAAAAATCTATTAAAATAACATAATCAGAGTTTAATAACTCCTAACCTAATATTTATCTTGACTATTGCAAATAAATTGCCACCACCAACTCCACCAAATACTAATGTAAAAGAAGTCTATGAGAGGCTAATCACATCTTCTACCTAACCAAAGAAAATGATTTTTATTATTATTTCAACAACCCATAATTGACTTCAAACTATTTGAGCCACACTTTCCCTTTGAGGGAAGAAAATTGAAATGACCCAAAGGAAACCTAAGGGCCCCAAGTGTTAAAAAGATGTCCCCTCCCTCAACAAAAACTTCATACCTGAATCGATTTCATTCTGTAAAATCTGAAAATTCCCATAGCCGACAAACCCTAATTTTTTTTTCTTCAAACCAATCATATCAACCAACCCTTTTCTCATCCATGAAGATTAAGAAAAAGGTTTACTTGAAAAAAGAACCTCATATATGTATGTATATATGTATTTCATCTTGATGATGATGAGTGCTACCCCCACGTGCCCACAATCCAACCATAGGATGACAAATTAGTGGGACCCTCACAAGGAGAGAGTAAATCACGGGATAGAGATATTATAAGCTATAGATTAGATTGTTAACACTGATTTATCATCTATGTTAAGGAATTAATTAACTAATATAGACTCCAATTTTGTCCCTTGGATTGGATGGGACCCTTGTATGCAAGATTTGGAGAAAAGGTCGTTTGTCTTCATCTTCCATCTTTGCGAACCTTGACCAAAACGACGTGGGATTTAAAATATACATAGCTAGCTAGGTTTCATTGAAGACATGGACATACCTCCTTCCCACCAACATTAATAAAAAAATTAGCTAAACCCTTGTTTTTTTTGGGTTGTGTGATCACTGGTGGATCACATGAATTTGTTGTTAATACTAGGGTGGTGGAAAAGGAGACATTATGAAATGAGACCAATCAGAATTCGAAGACAGCATAATACATGTGTTTGCCATTCTTGGTGAGTGGATTATACTATATATCTGAGCATATGAAGCAATTCTAGACATACTTTCAGCGGCCAAATCATTATTTATAATGAGAGTTTTTAGGCTTTCGAGTTCGATCTTGTGATAGCTTCTTCGATAAACATCAGTTAAAGAGAATATAATCTCAGACAAAAAAAAAAAAAAAAAGAGAGAGAATATAATCTTTATTTTATATGTTCAATACTTTTTTTAGAGGTGACAATGTTTCACATGACTAAATAAGAATATCACACGATATGCTGACATGTATAATAAATATGTTGGATTAATCTCAATATGAGTAACTCTATTTTGACACGAAAAACACATTTAACTAACTCGTATTATATGAAATTTATAATTCTTTTTTTATTTTATATATGAGTAATTGTATGATTATGATATTATTTATTTATGATTTTGCAAGAGGTTTGGTTTAGAAATAAAAGAAATTTATTGTTGAATTTTGCGTTCACTTGACACATGAGTCAATCAGAACACTACACGATTATAAATGAGTCAACCTGAACATGACACAGTTATATGGGTTGTCAACCCAACAATAAAGGCTACGTTGAGGGATTACAATGAGAGGGTTCAATTTAACACTCCAATAATAGCTATGCACCGAATTAGACGGCTATTAAGGACCCCCTCATAATAAAGTTTAAGGGTGTCAATTTACTACACGACCCAATACACAGCTTGACTTGCACGTAAAATTACCGATTCAATCCGCTTGATTAAATTTTTAGATCAACTCGCTAACCTATTAAAATATCTATGTAACCCGCCAACATGTTTCTTTGTTTCTTCTTCATTTTCCTTGTTATTTTTATTTTTATTTTTTATTTCTCTATCTTAATCTTCATACATATAGAGAAGCAAAATGTAATCACTATTTTATACAAAAAATAAAAAATGACATCACTATTTTATCAAAATTCTTTGAATAGTACTCTCTTTCTCTACTTTTTTTTTTTGGGTCTACATTTTTACCTTGCTAATTACTAGTTGCTACCACTTAGTAGGTCAACCCGATATATGACTTGAAACCCGCTTGAAAAATTAGCGAATCAACCCGACACGACACATTTATTAAACATGTCGGGTTTGAATTGAGTATTCTTGACACTATATAATCCTGACATAACACGATTCAGACGTAACATGACTCATTATCAGCCCCTCACTATAATCCCTCATTCTAGCCTCCTTGGGCATACGACTAGGGTTTGTGATGGTTCATCCCTTAAGCTCAACAGATTCTTGAAAGGAACTGGGCTGACTTGAATTTTAAAAAGGGCCCCAAAATTTGTCCACTAAGGTGGTCATAACTGTGGTCATAAGGTGGGCT